TATCAACAACCAGCTTCTCAGATAATTGCATCCACATTTACTTCAGTATTTTAAGATTTGTTAAAGAGTATGTGTGTTAAAGGGTATTAGAGTAAAATACACTCTATGTAATTAATGTAATTAATGGTTTGTACACTCTATGTACATATTTTCTTTTTGTGTTCTAGAAAATATGTATAGGCTTGTGAGACATGTACAAATTGCTGATTATAAAATCAAAGCATGACATTTAGCAGCAATAAGTACCATCTAATTCAATCTTACAATTTACACCTGACAGTTATAAGATTATTGATTAAGATATAAAACCTTTCTAAAAGGCCTATCGAGGGGCTTCTTCCATTACCATATTGCTGAAATAGATACTTCACAATGTCACCTATCAGTTTGAGTAGAAAGAAAGAACACATGTTAGACAACACCAAAGCTGATAATCTAACAAGGAAGGCAAGAACCAAGAAGAATCCTATAATAGATAAAAGCAAAACTAAAGAGGTAATATCTTCAGCTTATATGTGCCTAATGGGAAACTTAACCAAGAGAAGGTCGATAAAAAGGAAATAAGCATATGTCAACCTATCTGTTAGCACTAGTAACATTTTGAGATAACGACTGGTTCACAATATTTTATCCCAACTCTTGGTCCCGTCACTGACCCCTAAAAACCACACAAATCCAACCAACTTCCAGTTTCTTATCTTTAAATGCAATTTCCTTGTTTCCAAGACAAGCTTATTAAGTAGTTTTTCTTCTCAGTCAATAGGATAGTAAACAAAAGAAGCATATATTCACTGTCCTACTCTTGCTTAAAAAAGAAATTTGATCTCAAGCTTTTCTTATACACAGGTGATTGCAAAAAATGATTATTATAACGAACAAGAATTTCACTTTGTGCCTATTTCTCACAAATTTGACTAGCCAGCTGTTTTCGTTCCCAAAATCCTGGGACCAAACTGGGAGATTTCTATTTTAAATTAATTTTATACAGAAAATTTCAGAAGAAAGAATTTTAGATGTTGTCATTTCACAAAGCAAACATTGTCAGAATTTATCATTATCATTTAAAGCTAACACCAGTAGGATCACACACATTTAATATGAGAAAGCTTCATCACTTAATCACTTACCACTTTCATATAGTGAAATACCAGTGTTGGGGTCTATGAGAAAAGGAAACCTGCATGAAAATTTTTCAAGAGTTCCAAATTACGAAGTAGAACATCCCACAGGGAAACATCAGAACAAGATAAATAATAGGCAACCTTTTCAGTTGATAAATCTGCTTTTCATTTGTATGGAAAAAGACAAATGCCATACAAACTGACTTACTTTTCTTTAAAGCAAAATAATTGAGAGAACATTAAAGAAATGTTAGTTATAAAAAAACAAGAAAATCCCAATACAAATAATCACACGCCTTCTTCATATCAAACCTGCAAATCATATATCAACCCTCATTCATAATTTATCCTTTACAACTTCATTAACCATCAGAAGATATCCTAAATCCACCTCTAATGCATGAAGGAATTGGAGCAAACCCGCCACTTTCCAAACTTTTTCTTATGACACTAACCACCTCAGTAAAAGTTCGTTGACATACCCCACGTGGAATTAGCCGAAAATTCTAAATGCTGATGCCTCCAGCTTTTGGATTTCAATCAGAAACATAATATCAAGACAACAAACCAATTCTTTCATACTGTGGCATCTCTTTAAAAGTTTTTCTCTGCACTTACACTATCTAGTGTGCATGAGCTCATCGTTCACTTCAGCTTCATGTGATCTCATATGAAGGTGTAAACTATCAACAAATATTACAAAGATTTGGCATTTATGTAATGAACAGGCAGATACTTCAAATTGTGCAAATTTCCCAATTTTCAAGGGTATAGTATCAGTCTGATAAAATCACAACACTCTGTAAAAGCTGAGAAATTTGTAAGATTAAGCTTGCTAGAAATTACTTACTGCTCTTTGCCACCAATTTCTAACCATTTCCCTGTGTCTCACAGAACCTTTAG